CTTGTGGTGTGGCATATTATGAATTGATGAACTGTATCAGTCTATATATATATATATATATGAAGGGCGATTACTTGTGATGACATAGAAACAAAAATTTTATAGTGGATTTAGTCCAAAATTGGTATTAAATGTCTACTTGAGTGAGATTTCGGTGTCTGGTGAATTCATGTCTCCTGTTTTAAGCAGAAGAATATATTCTGGTACAGTTAGATAAAAGTTAAATTTGATCATTTAATAAGGACAGAAACTCCCATCATTTGTGGTATAAGATAACCATGCTTACCTTACTTAAACACACATTTCGGTTTTTGGTGAATTGATAAAAATGGTCAACGTTGTCTAAACTTAAATAAAGTACCCTTCAGAAACAATATGTCTTGGTCAATCACATGTATGACGCACACAAACTGTACATTTGATTCATAGCATCACGACAACACCAGAACAGCCACCGGGGAAGTGCCACTGCAGTATTCAGTCTGTATGATCCATCATGGTAAGTGTGGTACATGGAGGGGTGTTTGTATCATTGACTCCTTTCCATACCTAGATCGATCTAGCAGGGTTGACTTCTCTCTGAGGGGATTCTTGCTGAATTGCATTCTGCTTTAGCGGCTTACACCCCATTTCCATAGATTAGATCGACCTACTTTAGATCGACCTAACTCCCTGGGGGTTCACGCTAAATAGCTGTCAGCCGGGCGGACACGAAAGTTAATTACCCCATTACAGCTTGTAGTAGGCGGGACGGACATTTAAGTTTAGGATTATCTGAAAATAATCTAGTGAGACTCCCCGCGGGGATAGATCGATCTAAAATCTATGGGAATAGAGCCTTAGATGTCTGGCATGCCTTATGAAGCTGTTAGGGGGTAATTAACTATCGTTTAGCAGCTTCAGTAAGCATGCCAGACAATTGAGCTGCTTAAGGAGAATGCAGTTCAGCGAGAATCCCCTTGGAGATAGGTAGGTTGTACTAGATCGATCTAGGCATGGGAACGGGGTCATTGTGTCTTCTCAATATTTTCATTCACAGATTTCAACAATTATAGCAACACAGATTTCAACAATTATAGCGACACAAGTTTCAACAGTTATAACAACCTTTTTGGCCATTATGTCAAATTAGGATTATGTATCTGAGGTCCAGCTATTTTACAGACTCCAACTATGGATTACTTCAAGCTAATAAAAACTAAAATTAGCCAATTTACAGACTGTTCTAATGTAAAACTATTTTAACCAAATAATGACAAGAGATTTCACAGATGCTATAGCGATAATGACAGATAAAGTGCTTGCTTCCTGACTTACATGTACCCTTGCTGAGTGTAATACAAATATTTTGCTGGATATTTGTATTAAAGCCAATAATTGGATAACTGAACACAGTCTTGTATTACAGGAAGTATACTGCAGTGTGTGGTGCCAGTAGCAACGCAGGCAAATGCTGCCAAGAACAGAATTTTCTTCACCATGCATAGTGAGTTGAGCTTATTGTGTTGTATTCTTTTCTAATGCAATGATTTGGTGTCCCACACATTAAAAAATTTTTCTACTCATATTTTGAGTACAGCACCAAATGTGTGTGTGTGTGTGTGTGTGTGTGTGTGTGACATATCTTCTAATTTCTCTAAAGTTGACATCTCTGTAACGTTAATGTTAGTGTATCCAGGTCTGTTTGAAAGGAGGTGTCAAGGGGTTTGGGTGAGGGGGGGGGGAAGACAAACAACTCATTTGGCTGGGAAGAATTTAAATCAAAATATGAACTGGGTCCTTTGACATTGTGGTAAAGGCTCCACATGTTAAGGAGACCTGCCCCCTTTGAGTTTGCTGCCTGGAGAGAACTATATAATATTATTTTTCTTCTTACAGATGAGTGTGTACTAGTGTTTTTGCCAGGCCATTTTGTTCATTTGTTGAATGTCAGCTTAGAGTATGAACCCTCACACCATATATTATACCATGGTGAGTGGACTTTTGTTTAAAGGGATAATAACTCTTCGTATGAAATCTATATTTCACAATAAAAACATTGTGAATAACTCATAGAAATATAATATATTCTGTTTTACGACGAAAACAGCAGTTATAGCTATTATTCTGATATCTGAGCTTGTCTTCAGATCACGTGACCTCCATTGATGGCTATACTCTGTTATAATCTCTTAAGAGATTTTAACAAAAAACCAAACTTTTTAGAAAAAAACCAGGGACTAAATTTGAATGTAAAAATGGATTCATTAACCATTGGTAAGCATGGGAAAATTGTTGTTTACTCCAGGAAAATTCATTTTTTGGCCAAAACAAGTTTGTTGTTAATGTACTCTGATGATTATTATGATTATTTTTCATGATATGTTTTCAGATGTGGCTTACCCTGATCTGACAGAGGAGGCAGGTGTAGAGAAAACTTCTTTATCTAAAGGTGGCTTGTTGACCCATCTGTACAGGGAGAAGTCAGGTACTGTGCCAACTGACAAGTATGTTTTGGGTGTACATAAAAAAAGCATGGATTGGGGGGTAGGGTGTAGAACAATGGAGTGTGATTAAAAGTAGAGTCCAATCTGTATTATAACTATAATGCAATAGTTTGAATAGCTTAAATTTTATTGGTAAACTTAATTGGGGTTCTGTTCAGTCTTCCTTTCCTTGGAGTTTTATAAAGGGAATAAACAAGTGCAGTCTTGAACAAATTCTCATCATAGTAATTCAACAACGTCATGTATTTATTTATTTATTTATTTATTTTTTGTTACAGGCTTCTGTCTCTTTGAAAGTGATGAAGGAAAAGGCTACAAACTGAGTATCAAAAAGGAATGCCTGCAGAGGATGTTTACGGATTGCTACACCAACTCTACCAAGATGGCGATACTGAATTACGTGATTATCAAGACCAAGGACTGGGGGGTTGTAAAACAGGTAATGGGTTCAATAATTACTCGATCTTTTCAAAAATTAAGCAAATTTGGGCAAAAACTATCAAACTCTCAGATATGTTATTTTATAATCACAGAATTTCTATATAGCATTTATGGTGCTTTTACTTTAAAGAATAGAACTATAGGGTAGCCTGCTTTTTAATTCTGTTGATACCACTCAATAGAACTTTTCTGATTTAAAAAAAATTACGACTTAAAAGTACAGTATCTGTAAAAATCACTATTTCCCCCATGAAAAGATCGAGTATTTGACATACTTCTTATTCCTCCTAAGAACCAGAGCCATACATAGGACTTAATTGTCTCTTATTTGAAAGCTATTGATTTTTATGAAATGAATTTTATCATAGTGTTTCATTGATTTTCAGTTGATTGAGTACATGTGCAATGATATAGCAAGCCCTGAAGTAGAACTTTTGATGGAGGAGTTTCTTATTGGTGAGTGACCTTGTGTCTGGGACCTCAATTTCTCTCCTGTAATGCCTGTTTATTACTTGAACTTAATACTTGTTTATAGCTTAATAACTTATGTTGCTTTTGCAAGATAAAAATAACAAATTGAATAGTCTTAAAGGATTAACCAGTTATTTCTTATTATTTTAGAGAATAAAAGATACTAGAGAATTAACAAGAACATTTATTTTTTATTTTTGCAGCCTCTACTTACAGTGCAATGAGACGCCAGATAGAGAGGGATCAGTTGCAGCTTCTGCCTTTCACAAGTATTGACACAGCTAGGGGACAACTTGAAAAGGTACACTGGCCACTGGCAATCAAATCAAATTCAGTTTCTTTCCAAAGGACTATCAAATAATGCTGATTTGCTAAACACCATGAATCCAAATCTCTTAACTGAAGTTAAGCAATGCATTAACCAGGTTAAATGTTCTAATGAAGTACTGGTGCCTGTTTTTTATCTGATTGAAAGATTGAGCAAAATATTTTGCATTTGATACGTCTACCTGTCCGCTCAGATGTAAAGAACTGATAGCTGTAAGAGGTTGAGCTGGAAATATACTGCTTTCTTTGAGAATTTCAGCAAAAATGTTAACAGTTAATAATCAGAACCCTCCGTTATTAGTACATGTTCCCATAAATGATACAATAAGTTTATGCAGGTTTATAAAGTTACTGCTTTTTCTGCTTCAGAATTACAACAATCACAAGCTGGCCCAGGTGACTTACTTTCCAATGAAACACAGTGTAAACATGGGTCGCAGGCACAGCTCGGGGGGAGATTCTGGACAGAGAGCTAGGAAGTTGTCCGTAGACGATCTCCCCGAGAGCTTGAGCCGTCACTTCAAGATCAAACAGCAGCTGCAGGTGTCCAGGTTTGACCCGCGGTCAGTGTCCAGACTGTTACATGCAATGAGGGACAGGCCAGAGGATTTTCAAGTAAGCTAGGTTTTAAAAGTAGTCCTAGTCTGGGTTTTTTTTTTTTTTTTTCAGATATTAAAATCACATAAAATCTTTTGGACTGCTGTATGTTTCATGATTGTAGGTAAAATTGTGTGTATTTTACACCAGAAGTTTCAGTGAGATTGGCTGGTATTTAGGAGAAGAGAGCGTTATTGGCAAATTTAGGCTGGGCAGGAGAGAACAGGATAGCCCATATATGTGTCTAGGTCCAATGCATTGAGGAAGAGAGAATCATGAAGATTGGCAGATACAGTTTGGGAAGATGAAAGCCTTGTTTTGTTGTTAATATTTTTCTTAAATACTGTGTGAACAGAATATTAAATTATCACTTTTTTGGCAAAATTATGCCAAATTTGTTTGAAATTGATGTGTTTTGAAATACTTGAACACAAAAATGATTCAAAAAGCATTCTGATTAATCTTCTCAAATTTGTATATCGTTTCCTTAAGATGTGCCTGTGATGATGTTTCAGAAATCAAGTTTGTCAGAGAACCATCTGCAGGAGCCAGGCAGGGGGAGAAGAGTCTTGAAGACACTTTCTATGAAGTTCAGAAAGTTAAAGTAAGTTTTTTATGAACTTTGCATGAATTTTACAATCATTTTGAAGGAAGTTTAGTGTCTTTGTGCGTGCACACATTTGTGTGTGTGATCAGATCATTGTGGTATAAACTAGTGACATCTATCCACCAAATGTGTTTTGCTGATAGTCATATTTAATACTAAGTGATATGTTGTCCACATTTTTTTTTCTGCCCTGCCTGGAGGCTATAAACATGGCAATAGGAAAGGTTGACATGCTACAAAATATCTTCAGAATTCTTGCAATGTCACCGAGTTTTTGGATGACTATTATGTAATAATTCTGGATGATAAACTATTTCTGTAATATTTCAGTGAAGTCCTAACACCAAAGGTTCCCATCAAGGCAAAGTCAGTGACCATTGTGACTCCTGAGAGCACAAGACAAATTTCTCCAGAAACAGGTCTGGGCAACATGCCAGTTTTGCCTGGTGAGGAAAAAGAAGAAGAATTTGTGTATGAGGACCAACCCACAGCCAGCACGGTAAGTTTTTGGCAGTATTTATTGAATGGATACATAATAAATGGAGAAAATTAGTTATTTTATCTAGATATATTTGTGTACAAATGCTAGATTGTCTTGGCAATCTCGGATATAAACAGCATCACCTGCATTAGTATTGGTCACTGCCTTCAAAGGTGATATGCTAATATTGAGCTGATAGAAGTGGGATAGTATTAAAAATGATAAGACTTGTTTTATAAAATCAGCTGCAAAATTTTCACTCAGGAGGCTCTTTACCAGAGACTACACATTCATGATTTTTATTTGTATTTTTTTTTTTTTTTTGAAACATTAGGCTCATCTACCACATAGTTTCATTGAACACAATCAAGAATTATGTGTAACATTTGACTGACTTATGCAGTGGAGGATAAACTTACTATCATTATTTGTTTATTATTTATTTATTTTTATTTTTTATGAATTTATTTGTTATTTGAAAATATGATTGATGTGATTTTTACTTTCAGACCACCCAGCAACTGAGCCAGCACATGTCAAAGTACTTGAAACAAGATGTGCAGGGAAAGATACAAAACCTGGCCTCAGAATATGTTTCTTGTCAGGTTTGTTCTTCTCTCTCTCTCTCTCTCTCTCTCACTTTTTCTCTCTCTCGTAATGATTTCATACATGAACTGCTACAGTTTGTAAGGAGGTTATATTTTAGCAGCCATATACTGCTGTTACAAAATCACCATACAAGATACCTATTGTTATTGATCAGAAGGTCCCCATTAGGTTTGATGAATTTGACTTGAATGTCAGTTTCTACTGTAATACTAAATTTTGATGTCTTCCAGTTCATCCAATCCAAGCAGCTGTTTCACATGCTTTGGAGTATACTTAACACACAGGAGAAGATTGTGCACTTGTAAGTAATGGCAGTTATTGAATTTAATAGTAGAATTTATAATTAATGTACTTAAATAATTTTTGAATAATATAATTATAAATAATATAATTTACAATGGTAATAAATGCCAAATTAAAGTTAATTTGGCATTTATTACCATGAAACCTAAAATTTAACATGCTTCATACAAATCTCAGAATTGGTTCCCTTTTTTTGCCATTTTGTTATGATAAACAGCATGTTTAACTATTATGTTGATCTCTTATGATGCAACCCTGTATTAAACTTTTTAATGAGTTTTTGAGATAATTAAAAAGGACGTATTATCTTAATAAGTGTTCTCTCAGGTGAATTGTCAATTCGGTCTAAACATTGTTTTCTGATTAACTTTTTGAAATGAAAAATCTACTTTATATTTTCAGTTTATATTTCTTCAGAGATAAAACTTTTCTTTTTAATATATTTTTCTTTAGAGACACACCATCCTGTTTAAAGGATTATGAACTGTTCCAAGCCATGGAGAGATACCTGATGGTAACACAGGATTTGGCTTTTCCACTGTGGAAAGGTGGGTCACCAGGCAATGCATACTATATTTCTTGATCTTTTCAATGGGGGAAAATTGTTTTACAGAAACTGCTTTTTTCAGTTATAATTTCTTAAAGTAAGAACATTCCTATTGAGTGGTAGCAACAAAATTAAAAAAAAAAAACAGGGTACTCTGTAGTTCTGTTCTATGTAGTAAAAGAACCACAAATGCTATATAGAAGTATTATTTTGTGATTGTGAAATGATGTTACAGTATCTGATTGGAGTTACTACTGTATGCTGCTGCATTTCTCAAACATTGTATGCAAAAATGGGTACTTGCAAATTTATTTTCTATTATGATCCAAGTGTCATTCAGTTGAAAACATTATCTGTCAAACTATATTTAGTGAAATAAGCATTCTATCTGGGCAGAAGATTCATTCCTGTGCTAAGAGCCAGAAACAAAGAATTGGAGATCTTACACTTTTTTCATCTTTTTCAGGTTTCCATACCTTTTTCACAGGACTGGCATTTCGTTGCTTGGATTTTAGGTAAGGCAGCAATTTAATTTAATTATATATTTCTGCTTTGAAATAATATATTCTGGCTTTCAAATTGATGATTAGGAGACAACCAAATCATATTTCTCATAAGAAAAATTCTTTTTTCCAAGTTTTGTTGTTTTTGTGTACATTTGTTTATTTTAAATGTGTGTGATTCCAAACATTTTTGTTTTATTTTTCAAGCCTGTTTCTGCAGTATGTTGATTCGGGGATTCTGACTCTTACTCCCACATTTGTGGAACAAGTATTAACAGGTTGGTAAATTATTTTGAAACTTTTAAAAATAAAATGATGGATTCTGTAGATTCATTCAAAATAATAGTAAAAAAAAATACCTCTGATTTTAATTTGCATCAAATTCATGTTTAGTAAAAACAAGATAAGTTTGTTCAACGCAATAGAGGAATGTAGAGGAAAAGTCAATTCTCTTTTGTCAAATACTTTGTTTGCCATTTCATTGATAGATTATTCAGGAGTGATAATTCACTTTTTTCATTTAATAAAGGTGAATTAATATCTTTATCATTAAAGTGATATTTTGAGTGTTAGCATCCACATCATGCTATTCTTTTGTAATGTATTTCAGAGTTGGAAGATAACAGGGAAACTGATAGAATCAAGTTCCAGATTCTCTCCAAGTTACCAAAGGTTAGTGCAAATAAAGATTTTCATTTAGTATACACTCCATTCCTTTCTTAAGTTTTCGCTGTTTTTATGATATCTTTTATGATCATTCTTTATTTAATTTGATGAGGTAACATAATTACGATTCATATGAAAGACTTTACTTCAAACAGTTCACTGAAACTTTAAATTAATGAAATGGAGTCTATGATTCACATGGTTTTGCATATTGATATTTTGACTTCAATAACAATTTCTTCACAGGAGGAATCTGTCCAGTATTTTATCAAATCTGGACATCCATGCAGTAAAACATTCTTGGCAGAACAATATGTGCAGGCAACTCTACTGGATGGTGAGTCTTCTGAAAGTATACTTCCAAGTGTTTAAATAATTGACATAATTAATATAAGATTTTTAACTAATTAAATCCATTCATTTATTTTGAATTTTAAAAATTAATTTCTTTATTTATAAATAATGAACTTTCCAAGCTTGAATTAATGTCAATCAGAGTGGAAGGCTTATTAGATAAATCATTTTCTTCTGGACTGGTTTCCTGTTGAAAGAAGTATCTATATACTTCTTAATAATAAGTTCATCAATCTAAATAAGTAAATAGATAGATAGACAGATCTGTAAAAAGATATTTTAAAGTTTGCAATGATTTCAGACCCCGTGCCAAGGAGCGCCAGATCAAGTGCATCATCCTTTGAAGGTGATGACCTCTCGATGACGTCTTCAGGAGGTGCTGGGGGACTTAGTATTGGTAATCTTTCTTTTCTTTCTTTCTTATTGATGTCCATATGACATATTAAATACCCAAGGATACGAAGAGAGTACCCTACAATTCGTATTTACAAAGTTATCAACACAGTTACAGCAAGACCCACTACAACATTGCATACATTACAAAGCAATATACCTGGCTGTATAGCATACGACTAATACTGTAATACAATAGCACAGATACACTAATAACAGAAATTTGTTGACTATTTTGGAATAATTGGGAGCATAAAGAAGTAAGACATAAGCATAATTAAGAATATCTTATGGATTTTTTTTCTTTTTTTTTTTTTTTTTTTGACAAAAATGACTGTAAAAAAATTATTTGCTTTCACTGGTGTCTTTGTCCTAACAGTTATGCTCTCTTTGACTCTCATAGTTATACTGGATTTACAAACTAAAGGTATTATTATAATGATCAATGTATTATCCAGGGAGTGTTGACAGCATGGAGGTTGGCACCTATACTCAGCAAACTTTCCCACCCCTGTCTACTTTGCTCAAGTTACTGGAGACAAAAGGTGAAATTTTCTCTCTCATCTTCTTTCTTTTCTCTCTCTCTCTCTCTCTCTCTCTCCTGTAAGTGAGTGAGGATGCATCTGTACAAACAATACATGGACAGATATGCATGCAAAAATATACATACAAGTCATGAAGAGAAACATATGCGGCCAAAGTGACATCGCTTCTTTGTGTGTAATTTTTCTTCAAATCATTTTACAGAAGAAAAAACCTACCCGAAAATATTTTATGTAGATAATTTACTTTTTTTTCTAGTGTACAAATCATAAGCAAGCAGATAATTCAAATTTTACTATGAATCTGCCTTCCAGATCCAGAATTTAAAAACAAGATGCCAAGAAGAGAGATGACTAGCAATGTAAATCAAGTAGATAAGATGTTCATTGAAAGCACAGCCACCATGTACAGAAGTATGCAGCAGTGATTCAGTGTGCTGTCGTCATCACCATGTAATGTGGAGGATCATTGTATTTGTCAAATGTCACTCAGTCCTCTCAGCCATGTGGAGAACACAAAGGCTATAAACAGGCTGTTTGTCTCAGGATGGTGCAACACATAGTGTGTGGGTGAAAAAATATCTCTAAAAATGAATTTTATATTGGTATAGGGTGAATCCAATGCACCTGTTTTGGGGAAGTTATTGGGGGGTCATTGGTTCAAATATTTTTCAGCAACTGTACATAACTAAACAGAGAAGAATACGTTTTAGAGATCTCTTTGTATGGCAGACTTTAAAAATGTTGGTCACATGCAGGCAAAAGCTCGGGAAAGTTCTGCAGTTCACAACAACATTTGAAACACAAAATTAGAACTGCTTGTACTTTTGATTTTACAAAAAAAAAAGCAATACGTACTTCCCCATGAAATAGTACCACTTAACACCAGAAACAATTTTTTTTTTTTTTTTTTTTTTTTTTTTTTTTTTTTTTTTTGTCATCAAGTCCACTATCCATGTAATAAGGTTGCATAGCGAAATGTCAAATGTAGTAGATTTCAGACCAAAAATTCAATACTGTGATCAAGGTTTGTGTGTATATAATGCATTGTGCAAAACAAAATTGTACTTGAAAATATGCATTAGCCTGAGTACTTACCTAAATTATATATTTATCTTGACTGTGATGTGTTTTCTAGTTTGGGAGTCTTATGATTCTCATTGTCCAACATGACGATCATGTGAAGATAGAAATGCACTGTACCATGTTCATAAACTGACATTTGCATCTTCATTCACTTTTCTCAGTATTACTTGTGTATTAAGTGAAATGGTTTTCTTTCAACATATATGTTGAAGTTCTTTTTGGAACCTGTTAAGCTTGTACACTGTCACAACTAATGCAATGCAGTTTACTATTGCGCTCAACATCACTGTTCATCGTCACACCCAACACAATTTTATTGTTAATGGTCTCAACTAACGCAATACTAGCTTTTTAATGTACAATACGTAGACAGTGAATGTCATACTTAGGTTTCTTTTTCTATAAAAAGTTATTTACTCACAAAATGGAAGATAAAGGTAACTAGACTGGTTGGTTGATAATTGGTAAATTATCAGAGAGGTGCTATTCATCTTGAATAAATTATTTTTAAAATATTGCGTGTTCAGAGACTGATTACAAGTAGCTCTGCTGAAAAAGCCATTTTTACCAAGAGCATGATTGGCTGCTTGTTGACAACTACTTTTAGCTCAGGGTTGTGAGTTTCCAAGGGATTCTCGGATTGTCCTCATATCTCCTCCATTTCTAGTATCTGGGAATGACATGCGTATATAGTACATGTGGTATCTTAAACTTTGGAGGTAATTTATCGCGTACAGTCTCACACCTTGGCAGTATTTGTTTGCGTGTTGACTGTAGAATACGTACGTGGGTGTCACACAAGAACTAAGATTTACTCCTAGTCATCGCAACCAGTAGTCACAAAGCGGGTTTTGATAGATTACCGAAAGCTGTTTGTCACTCAAGTTTAAGTTGTAGATACATACTGAGCATGGCTACAATGTAAATAAATTTTGATTGGAGAGGGGGTGTTGTGTTGGTTGAGTAAAGCCTTCTTTCTTCAGTGATTTCCTGTTGACAAAATGATTCATAATTAATATTAAGATGCTGTTGAATATTATTTGAAGTTTGATTATGTCCTTCTCGTCGCGCAAACTAATAATAGAGAAACGGGAAAAGATTATTACATCAATAACGATGAGAATAAAAATAATTCTCTTCAAAATAATAATGATAATAAGCTTACGGAACACAATCCCAAACACTGTCTTCCCTAGTGCAAGGTTAATGTAGATGCCAACATATTTCATGTAAAAGATTTTTGTTGGATACGCACGGGCCCCAACGCAGTGTGTACAAAACACAACCGACAAAACCTCTTGAAGAAAAAGTTGAATTTGGATAACATGAACGTGTTTTTTGTTTTCCTTTCCCTTTTCTCGTGCTGACTCTCGACTGCACAATGTAGAAAAAACACAGCTGAATATCAATATTAGTCTCTTGGTATGCTGTAATTCCAAAATAAATGTTTTTACCACTACGTGTATGAATGTCACAAGGAGTGTTTAGAATTATTTGCAGGGCGTGATTCAGGGTGTTGGGGTACGTAGATGTACATTAAACAAGTTGATCTCTCTCTCTCTCTCTCGTAGCTTTCTTGATAATATCTTCTCTCAGCACTGTTTTACAAAAATAAAAAAATCGGTAAGCAACGATGGCAAAAAATGGAGTCCTTTCGACCACGTTCATTGCATTCTATGTTACATTATATTGAGTGAAATAGTCTTCATCTATATGTCATAACCCGTAGAGATATTTTTAACCTGGGTTGAATCGGGTAATGTGTTTTCGCGGGTGTTTTAAGCAGGCACGAATAACAACTACCCGGCTTGTTTTTGCTGTATACTATATGGCGGTTGCATGTAAAAGGCAATAACGCTGCGGGGAGCACCCCGTCATAAAAGTGAGGGTACTACATATGAAAAAAGCATTTGAAGAGATAGTTGAATCAGTTAATTGCATGTTTGCTGTAATATTGGTGTACGCCCATGCTAAATACGCCACACGCGTCGGGCGCATAGATGCATCGACATACCCTACTCATTAGAACAAATACTCATATCATAGGTATGATTTGAAGATGGCGTACAGTAGTATTTAAATGTCTCTCTGTCGGTCCGTTCGTCTGTATATTTGACTGCCAGTCTGTGAAGTCCATACATCAGTGCTATTGGTCAACAAGAACTGCTCTGCTCTCTTCGCAAGAAAGGGCACTCGGATCTCCATCAAGCAAAGTTGGCCATAAAATTACACTCCCCCTACACTCCCAATACATGTACTACATCCAACGGGGGCCAAATGCGGACACACGGACAACTGAAGTAGTTAATAAAATGTCATTAGAAGGGAGCTGTCATGCGATTAGAGATCAAGCTCATACATGCTCTTTTACTAGTAGAACGAGTCTTTAAATAAATTACAATTAAGTACCGAACTCAAATAAATGCGCATGCCACACCGATGAATAGGCGCACCGTTATAGATTGACTGTCAAGCATTTTTTATTTACGTCAGTATGATAGCACATTTGAAAAAAAGTATGTATAAAAGGTCACAGACATCGGGGCGTAAAAAAGGAGGCTAAATAAATAAAAAAAAAGTGAAACCTGAGAAATGTAATCGACCCCATAAAGAGAGATCATAATTCATTTTCAGTGACAGTCGCGAAACTAGCGTAATTTAATATATGTATAGACATGGGACCCCGCTTCAATAAATAGAACACATGTCAAGCCATTGACAGTCAATGGAGAAGGTCATCGCATCATCAATGGCACTGTTGTTGTTGTACGCTATATCTCGGCGTCACATCATACCATCTTGAGGGGTGACACGTAAGACCGCCTGCTCGCGCCACCGCTCGTTTCAATGCTCGCGACACATATTTCTCGCGCCAATTAGGATTTTTAACCTGCTCGTCTGACGCCCCTTATCTCGTTAAGGTCGTCATATCTGCATTGACGCACGTTTTAAGGGAACATCTTATTTAATCTTTACATATGAGGCATGGAGATGTTTCCTATTGCACAGCATTGCATATCACCCGCACATATTTTCTATGCGTTCAAAGTTAAAAACCGCTCTACACGTATTAACTCAATGTGGGCTTACCGAACACGATTGCTCCAAAAAACAGCTGATGTCAATAAATTTATTTCGATTCCAAGACTGGTAATGTATTTAAAGTACAATAAAGTATATACATCATGAAAATAGACCGAGTCCCTCCCCTTCTAGAGCACCTTTCAGTCGGCTCAATGCGTCACCGCTTCCCGGCATTTGGTAGCTAGGTGAGTCTCTCCACTCTCTATCTCTATCGTGTCGGTAGTGTCGCATAGCGTAGTAGTCAGTGACAGAAAGAGCGTCCCTGTCATTGCACGGGATTATCAATCGACGGTATCTCGACTACTCAATCGGTTGTCGCATACAACAGACGCAGGCCCACCTTTAAGGCACCGAAGGCAGTGTGCGGGTAGTTTGGTATAGTATTAGTTTAGGTCAGTACTATGGATGAATAAGTATGCAGGGTTTTATTACCGCTTCTTCCTAGTCATATTTATTTAGGCGTATTTGTTGTTAATATTACTCGGTGCACTAAAATGGGTGGCAGTCTCAAGTGGCCAGGAATAACAAACTGACGAGAAGAAAGAGTTTTCATTTGTACATGAAGTCTGGCCTCTGTACACGCATACCACGTTAAGCATAATCAGCTTAGGACGACCCGCAGAAGGGTGCTTCCTGCACGAGGAGGGACACAACGTCACCCATATCGCAATACAGCAGGTGTAAGTACCGTCTTTTAATACGATAGTGTCGTTTAAGGAGGGTCTCATTCATCTACAGGTGCAGGTATTAAGGCCGTTTTGCAACACAATATGGGGGTAGAATTTCACTTGGCCTAGTTGCCAGAGATAGCAAGTTGGACGTAGGCGTGCTGAGGATGATGCATTTAAGTGATTGCCACCAGTGGTCGGTTAAAAGGTGCACGGGCTCCGTACACTAATTCAAAGTCATTAATCACCCGGCCAAACGGCGCTTTGAAATAGTCTTTTAAGTGTAAGCACCCCTGTGCGACTTACTTGTAAGATGTTGCAAATATTATTGGCTGATTTGAAAGATTACGTGTATGTGACCTACTCGCAAGACTGAAGATGGCATCGTTATTTTGACATCGTTATTTGCATTATTTGGGTAAAGCTCATCAGATTGTCTGCAAAGATTAAGAAGGAGCTAGGTGGGGGTGGAGGGGGGGGGGTATAACACCCTGAGTTTCAGAGGACACAGGGAAATCACCTGTCTACTATCAGCTAGTATTCCAGTATGACAACAGCAGAGGTATGCTGACAGTAGAGATGTGACTTTCCTCTGATAATCAGGATGGGTATATAGTGACCGGCATTG